GTAGGTGCATTTTAAAAATGTTTTCCCGATGAATCCTGGACTCCTGCTCAAAATGATAAATAGCTACAAAAAAAAAAAAACAATAAGCCCGCAAAGCTGTTGTCGTTGCATCCTGATGGATGACAGCCGTGACAGCTAAGTGAAATCCCGGAAAATAACCCGTGGAACTTTGACAAATGAGAGAGCAGTTTACTTGCGCGTGACTTGTATTAACAAATTTGGTCCGTTTAGAAACGTTGCCGTTTGAAAGCGAACCACACCAAGAATAAAAAGCAACATTGTAATAATTTTAATCCCTGTTTTGTAACAAAGCAATCGATCTACAGGTGTGAAAGCACCCTGAGACGCGCTCTCGGTGTGCGCACTGAACACAGCGCGCAAGTACTTAGTTGAGCTATTTCACATCTACTTGTGTTGGAATTCTTTAAAATCTCTTGAATGTTTTAATTGACAAGGCTTAAAAGCACGTGCCAATGATCAGCTTTCGTGACAACACGCAGCAGTGGCCCATTAACAGTCCTGAACGTATTTCATGCAGGTCTTGGGCAGTCAACGGGGCCCCCCCACAGCCGTGGGCCCCTATAATCGTCACCACTTTTCACCCCACTAGCGACGGCCCTGATTTTAGGTCAAATGTAATTTTTCTATTTTTTATTTTGTAATATTATTATTATTATTATTATTATTATTATTATTATTACCAATGCTCTGTAACAAATGTATTATTATATAATACTGGATTATTTAAAATTATTACAGGCTCCGTAGTGAACGTGGTGACGTCATCACATTTTGATGAGCATTGATGCGTCAAAAGAAACCTATGCATTTTGTTCCTCTGAGCCAAACAAATAACTAAATAGACCTGTTTTTCACTGAAAAGCACCTATAATAATATTGTAATGAATGCCTATAACTTGCTTGGAAAATGTTATACTGTATGTAGACAGAATTTTATTTGGAGTGTAAAACACACACCAATGAAAATAGTCAGGATTAAACCATCACACACATGTTTTTATAATATCAAAATCATTCTGTCATTACACGTTTATGACTGATGTGAAGTGTATACTGTGTTTTTGTTCACAAGTGAAGACATACGGCCACACACTAACCACACAACAAAAAAAACCACAGAAAGTGAAGAAATGGGGAACCTGCTCTTGTGGACCTTCACTGTACTTCACTGTCGATATATTGATCTGGTTGGCTGGCAGGTCGATCAATGTCAAAAGGGAGCGCTGTGCTTTGAAGCTAATCTAAGAGCTGAATTCTCATGCTCAGATTCTTAAGCATTAAAAGACATTGAGCTTCAGATCAGCTTATACAAGCAACACACAAACACACTCTAAATAATATACAGACTTAAATATGATGGATTGATTTCACAATTGAATGCATTCATGAATGTGACCGGAGTTAAGATGCATCGTATGGCATGTGTTTGTGCAGTGCTTTTGTTTGATTTATGCCACAGCAGAGGTTCTGTTGTGGAAGAGGATGTATAGGTTACTAGGATCAAAGTTGCACAGAACAAGAAGACACTGAATCCAGTGATCCACAGCATGCACCCCTGCATGCATGAACACACACAGACACACACCCAGCCAGCCAGAGTGCATTCATCCATGCACACACACACACACACACATACACACACGAGACAGTTCAGATATTACATATAGCATCACATTGAACACATTAACATCACATATATTAGTTTTTTTTTTAAATTCTTTTCCATATTTTATCTACACCTTGTTTACATCTATTATCAACATCTTAACAGCACCATGGAAATGTCATGAAATCAAAAACCCTCCCCTCGAAATCACAAGTGGTCACAAGTGATGCCTTTGAAATGTAAATGTTATTGCCAGTTCTGTCTCCCTTATCTCATTTTCTTTTATGGCTCCCATCAGCTCATCCCCAGCAGCTAATAATGTAAAAGTTGAGATTTTTATCCTACAGTATGAACTTAACATGACAGATGATGACGATTTACTGTCATGAATACATATTTTCACATCATTGCAGAAATATTGTTATGATGATGCTAGCTGGTCCCCTGGTACAACATATGTCAGTCATCAAAATAATATTTCAAAGGAAAGTGTTCTTTCTTCACAATAATTCATGGTACTTAACAATTGGTATTTCTTAACAATTTCTTGAAAATGTAATTTTGTTTACATTTTTGGCCATTAAAGTTTTTTTTTTTTTTTTTTAAATATAATGTGGCATTTATATATAGCCTCTTTTTTTCTAATTAAGGTGTTCTGAATACATAATTTGAATGCTTACATAAAATGTCCCACAGACATTGCAATTTTATTTTTATTTTTATTTTTTTAGTTTTTTTATTATTATTTATTTTATTTTTTTTTGTAATGAAATAATGACGTTTTGGAGCTTCTTGAAGAAAGTTTTAATGCTAGAGCATACATGAAAGACTACTTATTTTCATAATGTTTTATTTTGGTTGCATTTTTATTATTTTTATTATTATTATTATTATTATTACTTTAGGTATGTTCTAACATGTACCTAACAACCCTACCTAACCTCAACCAAACTGCAATGTTGTGAATGAGATGCGAGGTTGTAAGATCAATTTCACTGTGCTCTGTTTCTTTTTCCTTCTTCCTGTTTTATTTTTTCTTTTATTATACAGGATCCTATAATCAGTTTCTGTCTTTGCTGTGTTTGTTTCAGGACAGTCCTCTGGTCTTACAGTCAGACCGCAATGTGACGGTGAATGCACGAAATAACCTTGGCCAGCTGACAGGACAGCTCACTGTGGGTGAGTGGCATTTTTAAACTAGATTTTCACGGACATGTCACCTGAATTCACACTCTCTCTTTTCACAGCGGGCCTTTTCATTTACAGCTGATGTGTTTTTCATACATTCATCTATTCTCCATTTATTATTTGAGATACTACAATATTTCCATTTGTGGAACTCCTACAGTGTTACTCTAAAAACCTTTTTTTTTTTTTGTATTTATTTATTTATTTTTGGAACTTCTTTGGCATCCTAACTGTCATCTGTTAATTTACATGAAAATAGTTAATCGAATTTGAATAAGGAAAAGACTCTTTGTGTTGACAATTTCAGAATTCATCGTTGTTAATAAGTTGCTGGCACACATAAAATAAATTGTAGTTGCTTTTACTTAATTACCTAAATGGCATTTTAGTAAATGACACCCTGAAGGGTTTTTGGGCCTAGATTTCTTTTCTTCCTTTTTTTTTTATTTTTATGGATTGCAATATATTCAAAGATTAAATTGGAAGAAAACTAAAATCTGGTGGTACAGCTTACACCAACTGTTACAGTTATGCAGGTTTTGTTTCAGGTGTCTTATCTTTTGTCTGGCTTCCCTGATTGTGTCCAGGTATTTTCTATAAATTAGGTCATAATTTCTTCTAAAGTTAAATCCTTTATTGTTTATTTTTTTCATTTGTAAGTATGTTTTTATGTGCATTTTTAATTCACAGTGTTTTGTTTCCTGAGATTTCACTCTTGTATCTTTCATTTGATTTTTGAAAATTAAGTTGCACTTACAGTGCCAAAGTGTTACACCTACCTCACAAAAAAGTACCATCTGCATATTGAAATGACTTGTGAAGGATCAAGGAATAAAATATATTTTAAAATAAGTTATTGTTTTAAATTGTAATAATATTATTGTTTACTGTGTTTTTGATCAAATACATGAATGGATTGGATTGAGAAACAATTTCCAGATAGTTCTGGTTCAGTTTAAACTTATATATATAATGCACGGTACTGTACATCACAGTAACTCATGCAGATTTATGCAGAAAACCCCCATTGCACAGTCTTGTGTTTTTGTTCTCAGTTGGTGCTCAGTTTCACCATCACATTTCAAAAGACAGCAGGCTGCATTCTGGGGCCGGCTGCCCGCCAGGCTCAGGGCCTCCATCAATTACTGCTCTATCTCAATGCAGCCACAGGGGTTTCTGGAGTCCCTGTGCTTTCTGGTGTTTTCCAGTGAATCCTCTTCCCTTGTCAGGGATTTTTTCCACTCCAGGGTATGCAAGGCAGAGTTTATGTTTATGTTTGTGTGTGTATAAAAAGAGCTACCTGACTCAAACTAGCTGTAAGATCAGAGCAGAAGCAACCACCCCTAAAGCCAGAAGAAGTAGATGCTCTCCCTCACTACGGCAGATCACAGCTTTACTGTGCAAAGGAAAACAGAGAAAGCAACAACCACACACATGGTTTCCCTGTATTACTAACAGGCAGCAAAGAAATACTGAAACTTTGGTGTTTTTTTTTCTTCTAATTTCTACTGATTGTGACTGTTTTATGTGGGTTAGTGTTGATTTGACAGGATTTGGCAAAATTCAGATTTGGATAATTGGCTCATATTTATGAATTACAGTAAAGAGAAAACCAATAGGCATTCTAATAAATGGAGTGTTCTTTGACCCTGGTTCATAAAATTTGTCACAAAACTGCACGGAGACATGAAGGCTGAGGATCCAAGTGCAGTAGTTTATTAGCGAGATAACCCACAATCATAGTCAAAACAGGCATGAGGTCAAACACAATAAGCAGTCCAAACAATGACAGAGTTCAGGGCTGAGGCAAACAGAGTAATCCAGATAAACAGGCAGAATATCAAGAACCAGGAAAAAAACACACAAAAGAACCAGAATAAAAGGCTGCAGCTGTGACACATGCAAGACTTCGCTATGAGTGACAAAATGAACCGGGCTTATACAGGGTGAGCAGACAGGGTTAACGAGACACAGGTGCAAACAATGAGTGCTGATGAGTCGGGGCAAAGGATTATGGGAAATGAAGTCCAAGACTGAGTAACAGAGGTATGGGATGGAGTGCCCTCTGGTGGTTATGAAGGGCACTCCAGCTGGTGATCGTGACAATTTTATTTTATTTTATTTTATTTTATTTTATTTTATTTTATACAATCATTCCACTCCAGCTCAACTCTGGGTTTCCTAATTTAGGGGTGTTTAAACAACAGTGTTGGTCAACTAAAAACGGAAAACGTTTTATGCGTTTTGGCCATTTTGGTCATTCAAACTTTTGAAAACAGGTTTCAAAGTGCAAGTTATCATCTCCGTGTAAACAGCAAAACGTGAATTTGTGAAAACGGGGACATCATGCACATGCGTATTACGTGTTCAGTCTATAGAAATGTGCGCAGAAGTGTAGTGTTTCTTTACAAAGTACCATTGCCAACTACTGGCCTGGCATGCATTATGCAGTGTTTTCAGTCGTTTTCGCAGATCTGTGTGAATGGGGATCGTTTTGACATCTTTGTCGTCTATACACAAAACTTTTCCATTTTTAGTACATAGTTGTTGTGTAAACATACCCTAAGTGTTCCTCATTCATTCACTGGTGCGAAGAATCTGAACTGTCTGTTGTATAAAACAAAACATATCCTCGTCTTTTCAGTTGGGAAATGCTGTATTAATGTTCAGATATGCCTTTAGAAATTGAAGAACCTGATTCTAAATATAGCAGATCCGCTTTCCTAGCAAAAACACAGCAGGCATTATCTGACTCTTATGGTCTCTTTAATGATAAATGCATGATTTTAAATTAAATCTCAGGCTATTTGTGCCCCATGGAGCTTTATTAAGTACACGGCAGGACTAGAAATTAACCAGTATCAATGAAAGTGATAAAAATACCCCAGATATGTAATGTTTGGGGGCAAAAGTCGCTTCCCATAGAGACTTCCTCTGTTCTATTCAGACGCATTATTTGTTCACTATTGATTTAGCACCTCTGCAGTCAATTTACTTAAGTATAGCTGTCAGATATTCAGTCTCAGAAGGTGGTGTTGTTTATTGTGTAGCTGATATAAAATATTTTTCTAAATATTTTTTTTATATTTATTTATTTGACGCATTTGACATTAAATGATGCTAAATTATGAAGGTGAAAAATCATAATAAGGTTAAAATAAAACTTTTTTTTTTCTGTTACTCGGTTTTAAACAAATGCTGTGTGAATTTACTTCTACACTGAGGGTTTGTTACCAGTTTGGAGTCTCATAACACTCTCACCAATGTGCCCTCTATATCCTCTCTTTAACATTCACCCACTCTGCAGGGTCATTGCCTTTAGGCTGTCTTTGCTCTCTTGACATTGACTAAACATTTAGGGAATATCATGGATTAGCTTCTAAACAGGCAGCAGAGTTATTCTGTATCCCCTCTCGCTTGCACACTCTGTTTGCTGTTTGTTTCCCTCCTCTCCTTGTTCTCTCGTCCCTGAACCCACTCGCTGCAAGAACATTAATCTTCAAACAGAAATTGTATGGAGGTGCTGAGAGCCAGAGAGCTGGGCTGTCCTCTGATAGCTTGGCCCAGGAGTGCAGAAATCTCTGTTTTTATAATATGGCCCATAAGTTCAGGTGATTGATGCACCGTTATCCCCTCTCGCTTGCACACTCTGTTTGCTGTTTGTTTCCCTCCTCTCTCGTCCCGGAACCCACTCGCTGCAAGAACATTACTCTTCAAACAGAAATTGTATGGAGGTGCTGAGAGCCAGAGAGCTGGGCTGTCCTCTGATAGCTTGGCCCAGGAGTGCAGAAATCTCTGTTTTTATAATATGGCCCATAAGTTCAGGTGATTGATGCACCGTTGCGTTGTGGTGAGCGTGAAGCGGGAGCCCTGCGATCATGACTTTATCCTGTGTTCATAAGGGAGTCGCTTAAATATCTGAGAGCTGCAGTCTGTCTTAGTCTTTGTGGCTTTAGGCCCAAGGTTCTCAACCTTGGGTCACAAACCAAAATGGGGTCGCCGGAATTGCAGATGGGGTTGTAAGAAATTTATATGAACTGCAAATTATTTAGGGAATATATTTCTTCAACTTAGGGCACTACTTACCAGGGCTTGATATACCTTACCTTGATATACCTTTTTTGGTAATACTTTATTTTAAGGTGTCCCTGTTACACGTTACATGTACTTACTATTAGAATTGAAATACTTACAATTAATTATGCATAATTACATGCAAGTAACCCAAAGCCAAACCCAAATCCTAACCCTAACCATATAGTAAGTACATGTAGTTAATTAATATTACTCAGTACCTAAATGTATAATTACACTGTAACAAGGACACCTTAAAATAAAGTGTAACCCCTTTTTTTATATTTATATATTTCAAACTGTTTTGGAAACTTTTTATGCCTTCATCAAAACTGTTTTTGACTTATGCATACATTTTATTGTTTTATCCTTGTTCAATGAAAATCCATCATAAAATATCAATTACATAAAACACAAGATATGAAATTAGCTTTAGAAAGACAAAACAATTAGTAAGTATTCCAAAAGCATTAGATATCACACATACATTACACGTTACATGTACTTACTATTAGAATTAAAATACTTACAATTAATTATGCATAATTACATGCAAGTAACCCAAGGCCAAACCCAAATCCTAACCCTAACCATATAGTAAGTACATGTAGTTAATTAATATTACTCAGTACCTAAATGTATAATTACACTGTAACAAGGACACCTTAAAATAAAGTGTAACCCCTTTTTTTATATTTATATATTTCAAACTGTTTTGGAAACTTTTTATGCCTTCATCAAAACTGTTTTTGACTTATGCATACATTTTATTGTTTTATCCTTGTTCAATGAAAATCCATCATAAAATATCAATTACATAAAACACAAGATATGAAATTAGCTTTAGAAAGACAAAACAATTAGTAAGTATTCCAAAAGCATTAGATATCACACATACAAATGTTGGATGTTGTTAT